AACAAATGGAAAAATATTTATTTTTTAAAGGTGCACACAGAATACGCAGTATGAGAAAGCAGATTTGGACATGCACACATACCATTAAAACAATAAGATATTATTAATGTAATTTGAACACACTGCAACTATTCATTTTTGCCTGATTATTTTTGACTGTATGTATTGTTTTGGTGTGGACTTCTTCTGCAGGGTGCAATATTTTCACAAAAAAGTGTATAAACATTATTCCACTATGCAAAATAGTAATTCTGTCCAGTTTCTGACAAAACTGGTCATTTAAACCCACTTGGAGTTATTTGAACATGTTTCTTTGTAGCATTTACTTTTCACAAACTGTGCTCTGGAAGCAAATATGGCAATGAAGGAGGCTAAATGTTATTTTTAGGAGTCATCGCAGATGTTCCCAAAGGCTGAACCTCCCTATTTATTCTCCAACTGGGAAGCTGGGGACCCCCCCCCCCCCCCCCCCCCCCCTTTAAATGCACATATGCTTTTGGTTGTTCTTTACCCACTCTAAATGCTGCATTAGTAAACATGTGTGCATACATTTGACATTTATGTGTGTAGCATCCCACTTACCAACTAAGCCTTTAATTTCACTGACTGTAATTTCTGGATCAGGCATTCTGTGTAAGAGAAGAATAATCTGTTGCATGTGGTGCCAAATGGATAAAAACACACATACACATACACATACACACCATGAGCACTCACTGTCAAGGATTATTGTTAAATACTATTTATTAGAATTAAAATTTATTTTAGTGTACAAATAGAAAGAGGAACATCATGTATTAATGTAGAAATTCATGTAGAAGTCACAGCCTCTCACAGAAAATGGCAGATACTTAAATAGCACAGTGCAAAATATTACAGTTAAGTAATTTAAGATAACTTAGACACTTCTGAATTCACAGAAATGGCCTCTCACCTGATCCCCAGTCCATCTTTCTCTTTGAAAATGAGTGGGGTCCTGAGAGCATCCCTTTGCACATATTCATAAGAGAAGTCTGCAAGACAGAAGTTTAAATGAGAGAATTTATTGTGAAGACATGCATTTTGCAATATATATGATAATTAACAGTAACAGTGTGTGTTACTTTACCTTTACCCTCCATGAGGAGGACAAACTGGGCGCTGTAACTGTCACTCACAAGCTTCTCCTCCACACTGAAACCCCTGATGTTTGCAATTTCCTCCACATCGGACAGATCCTCGTTTTCGTCGTACATCCTCCGGCAGATGGAGCGCTGCCATTGAAAACGACATGATTTACATGACATAACTGAAACGCGTGGAAAACAAACTCCTATTTCTGTCTCTGTGTACATAAACAGGCAATATGACTGATTATTTAACATATATTTTATCATTTACTTTAAAAATAGACTAGCAAAGGGTCAGATGTTTGATAGTAGCATCATTTTGCCTTAAATGTGACGTCAAGCACAATAACCGTTAAACGACACTTTTCCTGGGAAAAGACAGCCGTTGGTACGTTATCTTTTAACGGTTTAATGTTTGTAGGTTTATACTGATAGAAAGGCTGCTTTATCTTGTTTTAACTACGAAACACTCGCTGAATTATCACAAACATATATTCAGTTATAGCACCTAAAATAAGTGAGCTATCGTTTGTCTTCGTGGTCGCTAAGTTGCACAGCTTAAGTGACTTGACAAACATCCCAGCGTTTTGCAGTTGCGAACGTTAGCTTAGCTAACTAATTAGCTCGCTGCCAATCTCGCCTCATAAGCTAACGTTAACACGGCAGATGGTACACACCAGCCTGCGTCCAGATTCAGCACACGTTTCCGCGGCCTGAGCCATCGTCTCGTATCAATGTTTTCCAGCCGCACAGTGTCGGGAGGGCATCTTCGTGCGTGGTGAAGTTACAGAAACACTTAGCACGCTTTTCAGGTTCAAAACAAGGGAACCATGTTTTTGTGTATTACGTCACCGCCAGGAACCAAAACATTGTTGGACAACGTCACGGCATGTTAGTTCACTGCTTTTCAACTGGGGTTCACAAAGAGGGAACATTCATCACATCACACAAGTGCCTATTTGTTCGTGGGAGAAACTAAAAACCAAAACGTTTTAATTATAAAACAGCTTAGCCTGCTGTAGTGAACAAAGGGAGGCGATAAAATAGCGTGTGTTTATCAAAGAAAACACCTCTTTATCTACTTTCATTCATTCTAGCTGTAATAATTGACTCTTATCTCTGTAAGGTGGATGTGACGTGTGTCACGTGAGCTGGTGTAATAGTCCGTTCACCCCTTTTAAGTTGACAAAAACATTTGACTACATATTAAAGCTGCTATTTGCATCCGTGTTAACGAATGGCTGATTCCTATCGCACAACAGAGGAAATGCAACCGACAGTTGCCTCCGTAGCGGATGTTCGCCCCTTAGCGCGCAGGCTTATGGGTAATGTAAGGTGCAGGCACTGGCAGCACAACACGCTGGAGAGTGGCGGTGGAAAAAAAACGCTTCCGCAGTTCCGTCAGCTGCTGGCGAGGGTACATGTTTGGTAAGCGTACACTGTTGGCATGTTGAAGGCTTGTTTCTGTCGTGTCCCGCAAGAGTAACGAGGTAACTACGTCAGCGCTGCTCGCCCAGTCGTCTGATAGCAGGAGCAACATGAGTCTGAACGAGCACTCGCTGCAAGCACTGTCCTGGAGGAAGCTGTACCTGAGCCGGGCTAAACTGAAGGCTTCCAGCCGGACATCTGCTCTGCTTTCTGGATTTGCTATGGTAACATTGCCTCCTAACCATCCTCTTACTCTGTCATTGTTTAACCAGTCATTTAACACAGTATTGACACGTTCATAGAGTTCCTGTTCTCTTTTTATCACTTCTCTCCAGGTGGCCATGGTAGAAGTGCAGCTGGATAACAGCTACCCATACCCACCTGCTCTCCTTATTGCCTTCAGTGCCTGCACCACTGTGCTCGTGGCTGTCCACCTGTTCGCTCTGATGGTCAGCACCTGCATTCTGCCCAATATAGAAGCAGTGAGCAATGTCCACAACCTCAACTCTGTGAAAGAGTCTCCACATGAGCGAATGCACCGACACATTGAACTGGCATGGGCTTTTTCCACAGTTATCGGCACTTTACTCTTCCTAGCTGAGGTGGTTTTACTCTGCTGGGTCAAATTTTTGCCTGTCAAACCCAAATCCAGCAATAATACAGTGTCAGCTGGTGTGGCTGCTGCTATAACCTCCACGTCTATTATGGTCCCCTTTGGTTTAGTCTTCATAGTCTTTGCTGTGCATTTCTACCGCTCCTTGGTCAGCCACAAGACTGACAGACAGTTCCAGGAGCTCGAGGAGCTCTCTAATCTCACCAGGCTACAAAACGAGCTGGACAACAGAGGGGAGTCTTCCATCTTGCAGTCTCCAAGCTCACATTTCCCGTAGTGAAGTATGGTAGATGTGCACTTACGAAGGAACTCTGACTGCTTGGGATGTCTCCGAGCCAGAAGCTGTTATTGGCTTCTTTTTTTGTTTTTTGTTTTTTTTTTTTACTTTACAGGAATGAAGATGTCTCACTTCTTTGTTGTGAATTTTACTTTTGTGGAAAGAGTTGTATTTTTAGAAAAATAAAAGTTTCATCAACTGTGAACTCACAAATCTGCTGTAATGCATGTGACTTGAAATTGGAGAGTCTTAGGCCTAATTGAAGTCTTAACTGTGGTAGCTGTTTAAATGTATCTGTCATGGCAGAGACATCTGATTAACTTGGAATCCTGTCTGTTGCCTGCTGCATTTACGTGCCTGTTTGTCAGTGAACACTGCGTTTGTTAATATATCGTCGTGTTTTGTAAACCAGAAGTATTTAATTCCTCCTAATTCACTCTGTACATGATTTCTTGTAACCGATTGTTTTTTGTAATGCTTGCTGTGTGTGAAGACTGACTCAACAGCTGCTAAAACTACAGTATTATTAGTGTAGTGTATTTGCTGACATCTGTAGCTCAGGCTGTGGTGTTAAATAAACACTTTTTTAATCAAGTGGCATTCAGTGTTTCAGAATTTCAAAAATAATATGAATGTACTCTTTAAGAATATTATATATACATACATATATGTGTATATATATATATATATATATATATGACATCTATGCAGCATACTTGGAAATTTTAAGTTCATGAGTAGACTTGATGCATATCTGTTTTCACATGTCATCACCTGACACCTGAATTGTCATTTATCCTCTGACATTTGAGATTTTAAAAGAAATCTCACCCACATTTCAACGACTTTTGCGAATGTGTTAACATAAGACACTAGTTTTCCTTTGTGCTTCATTTTGAAAAACCCCTTGACTCACACATCTTAAATTTGAATTAACTGGGGTTTTATTCTCAAAATTTGAGAAACTGGATCAGATGAGGTAGAAGTTCAGATGGTAAATTTAAGGTATCGGGATGTTGCTAAGTGCAGTCTTGTAGAGGTTGAGGTTGTGATGAGAGGAGGCCCTCTCAGCTCAGGGTATGAGTGTTGTCAGAGTGCAGCTTAGAGAAAATAAAGTGAAGGTTAATATTTGATCAGTCCCTATAAAAAAAAAGTGGATGTGTCATTTAGATATTCCACGTATACTAGTATTGAGTTTATCACATGACCACCTTTGATAGACTTTGATTGTGTGTACATTAATTTTAAGCTGGTCTAATGCAGTGAATTCTGTAATATCATTTGGTATTTTTCTTCCTGTATGTAGTCTGATAATGTTTTATAAGCCCTGGAACTGACCCGTCCCATTTTATAATCATAACAGTAAGCAGCAAGCCTTATATTATCAAAACAGCTACTGTTTAATCATCTACTTTGGAGGTAAAGTGGATTAACCTGTTACAACTATATCACTATTGTTTTCAACTCATTTTAAATAGAAATAGATGTTTTTGGTTCGCTCCACAGACAAGAACAAACTATTTGGGTGTAGATATTTGGACAAAACTGAACATACTGAGCATCACCATGCCATGTATTTTCTCTTTTTATTCACTGTCTGTGAGTGTGTCATGGACTGAAAACTTGCTGTCAATCCTCTCAAGGAAGGCTGACTGGGCTTCCCTTAAAACCAACTGCATGTCCACCAGGTGTAGCTTGAAGAGAAAAAAAGATATGTTATATTTTAATGCACAACAATACATTGAGTAGGTATTTGGTTGTGTCACATGAGTGGTGATAGGCTGCTTGTAAATGCTGCAAAATTATCAACAGTGAAAACTTAGCACCTGTGGAATTAGATACTTCGTCGGTGTTGGTGCTTCATTCCTCCCAAAATCAGACAGGGTCCCACACTTTGCTACTCCATCCACCCAAAAGCCTTCATAAAGTTGGCCTTTGTCAGAATAGTAGAACTTGCCGTTACCATTTTTCTTGCCATCTCGCCAGGAGCCTTCATACCAATTTCCATTTGCTTGGACACAAGTTGAGATGTCAAATTTTAAGATCCACCATCTTGCCTTCAAATTATAATCCATTTTAGACTTTAAAAAATGCATGTGAAGCAAAGTGCTCTTACTAAATAGGATGCAGCCATGTCCGTGGTTCTTATCCTTCATCCACTCTCCCTGGTAAATATCTCCATTCTCATAATACATTCTTCCCCAGCCACTCCGATGGTCCTCACTCCACTCCCCTTCATAAACTGCAGAGCTATAGAAGTAAGTCCCATACCCCTAAAGAGATACAAAAAGAATGCAAAATATATCACACAGTGTACATACATCTGTTATAGTGTGTATGTATGACAGTATATCAAATACATACATGTTTCTTTCCATTTTTCCATTCACCACGGTACTTCTTCACATACTCCTTTGATTCTGGGAGCAGCACACCATAGGTACCATGTCCATCACATTTTCCAAATTTCCACTCTCCATCATAAATAGCACCAGATTTCTTCCACACCTGAATTCCCTCCCCTGAAAAAAAGTAGTTGTAATTATAAATAAGCAAGCATTTTGGCTATAGTGTGGCCAAAGTATGTTATGCCTCATAAATAGTAATTTCTTCATAGTTTCATGGAAGCTCACATCAAAAAGTATCTCACCATGTTTCTTGTTGTCCAGCCACTCCCCAGTGTATTCATTTCCATTGACGGAGAAAACTGTGCACCTTGGCCCACATTTCTGTGACTTAATATCCAGCAATGTTGACAATGGCAGATTTTTTTTAGATGTTTTGAAATATGGCATTGCTGAGCGTGGCTTGATGACAACCCTACAACATAGATAACATGTTAAACCCATGAAGCTGTACAGCAATCGCATTACAAAAGGAGAACAGCTCAGTATTGCCCTACCCTCAGTACAGGAGTTCACTGTCAGCTAACATGGCAGAAGGACTGTGTGCACATGTGCGGAACATTTTACTAAAAACAAAGTAGTTTACAGTAGAATATAATGTCACATAACCTATCATTCATGTAGACATATCCTCCTGTGAAGTGGTCTGCTGGAGAGGCATGGAGAGGGACAGAAAAAGACTAAACAGACTGGTTAGGAGGGCCAGCTCTGTCTTGGACTGCCCTCTTGATTCAACAGAGGAGCTGGGTGAGAGGAGGATTTTAGCCAAGCTGGTGTCAATCACAGACAACACCTCTCACCCCCTGCATGAGACTGTGGGGGCCTTAAAAGCAGCTCCTTCAGTAACAGACTGCAACACCCACTGTGCAAGAATGAGTGCTACCACATGTCCTTCATTCCAACAGCAGTCAGCCTCTTTAACAAGACAGAATAACACAACTTAACACTGCTGTTGTCTCTGCCTCCATCACCCACCACTTACAACGGCTAATTTGCACTATGGACACAAATACACTATGTACCTCAGGTTACAACGACAGCTAATTTACACTATTTGCACATAATATTTATTCATAATCATAAATATTTATATACATGTCTACATATTCTATCCATACCCTTCATATCTTTTTTAACAGCGTAACACTCCTATGCAGTTTCCTGATGTGCAATACTTTTATCACTTGCTGCGCGATAATATCCATATATTTCTATATTTTTTCAGTAATAATACTAACCCTGAACCCACATTTCAGATAAATGTTATTAAGGTTATTAAATTAGCACGTTAGCTAACCTGTCATTTAACGCTAGCTACACAGCTATAAGTTAGTTCACTTGCGTTAGTTGACGTTTACGTAAGCTAAGTCACTTATTTTATACAGTTTAATACAACACCGGAGATATAACAATGTCAGAAACTCATTCAGAGCAAAGTACTTGTACCTTAGAGATGTGTCCAAGCGGATTAATTACTTAAACTCAATCCGTTTGTCAACTCAAGCCATGTAGCTGTCGAATACAGAGATGTTAGACAGATACTGAAACATTCGTCGTATCCTAGCAACAGATTGTGTCGTGTATTTTGTGTAGTTTTAGATAAATTAAAAGTTAATTTAAAATTATAGTTAATTGTGTCGGAGAGGCTCAAGCGAAGCCTATGTAGTTTTTATTTCATTTTTTTAATTTTAATTTTTTGTATTTAGGTGTCTTCAGGTTTATGGTCGGGACCGGACGCACAGTATTTCCCGATGTGCGCATGCGCCCTGCAGCAGCGGTAACGCGAGCCGCCGAGAGCAAAGCAGTCCGGTTAAAGAAGCTTGTGAGTGGACAGTCAGCCTGAGAGGACAGACCCGGGGGTGAAGCCAGTGAAGCCGTCCTCCTCGCTACATCAGACACTGTACCACCATGTCCAAACCGAAGTTTCAGACGGAGTGGGAGGAAATTGACGAGGAATATCAGCAGTTACAGGTGACGAGTACGAGTACATCATGTACGGCAGATTGCTGGCTGTAGCGTGTCGTGGATGGCACTGACAGCCCATACTCTAGTGGCTACGTTACTTTGGATGGCTCTCTCCTATTCGCCATTCATTCTCAGCTCACCCGTAAACGCAGCTTTGAGCCAATAACCGTGCTCTCGGTGGCAACATCTGAGGGATGGGAAATGTTTCACTGCATGTTCATCATCTCTGTCTTTACTGTAACGTTAACATCCGTGTGGTAAAGTTACAGCCGCTAACGTTAGCAGCAGGTTTCTTGTCTTGCTGCTAGTGTTTAGCCGGCTAATGAGCAGCTACAGCAACTTGGCTAACCCCAAAGCGTAGAATTGTGATATAATATTAAATGATAGCTACCAAAGTTACACAGGGGTCGTAAAGGCAACTTCACGCTGTTGCTTTGCCTGAGTAAAGCACGTAGTGGTCATTGAATGCATCATCATTTATCAGTACGCTACCACGCTAGCTCATATTTGCTAGCTAGCTAACTTGAAACAACAAAGAAGTCGATAATGTGAGGTCACTTTGGGGTATGATTTGTCATCATGTGCTCTGTGGTGTTGTAACTCGACCACCCCTGTCCTCATGCTGGTGTCAGACAAGTGAGACTTAGACCTGTGTGATGCCATCAAAATGTAAAATCTGGAGCTGCTCCTTAGGGAGAGATGATGAAGGTGAATGTCAGCTGTTGGAGGATTTTCCTAAATGAAGCTTTCATGTTCTGGTGAATAATCAGTGGCAGATATTTCAACTACACAGACACAGACTGACATTCACAATCAGCTTCTTCCTTATATATTGTACAACTGTGCATCAGGTCCTAATGCAAAGGTCATGTACACACAGTAGATTGACCTGTGGCGAACTATTACAGTAACATATCCCTTTAATTGGCCTCGTGCATGTTAACATTGTTGATATGAGAAAGGTCAGGATCATAGAAAGCATGATGCATTCACTGGAGGAAAAGGAATGCTCAGTTTTTCTGATTTAACAAGATTATTATCTCACAATTCTTGGAAAAGTTGTCATGGAACAAAACTCTGCTCTTATGTTTCTAAATTAACGAGACAATAATCTTGTTAATTCAATACATGAGAATTTACGACATTATTCTCTTGTTAACTCAGTAGCGAGAGCAGGATTTTTTCCATGAAAATCTTTCTCAGGATTCTGAGATTATAAACTTCTAAAATAAGAAAAATGGGGCAAATATGCAGATATTTTTTCTCAAGTGAATGTATTACTCTCCTGTAGGATCTCTTTCACATACAGTACAGGCCAAAAGTTTGGACACACCTTCTCATTCAATGCGTTTTCTTTATTTTCATGACTATTTACATTGTAGATTCTCACTGAAGGCATCAAAACTATGAATGAACACATGTGGAGTTATGTACTTAACAAAAAAAGGTGAAATAACTGAAAACATGTTTTATATTCTAGTTTCTTCAAAATAGCCACCCTTTGCTCTGATTACTGCTTTGCACACTCTTGGCATTCTCTCCATGAGCTTCAAGAGGTAGTCACCTGAAATGGTTTCCACTTCACAGGTGTGCCTTATCAGGGTTAATTAGTGGAATTTCTTGCTTTATCAATGGGGTTGGGACCATCAGTTGTGTTGTGCAGAAGTCAGGTTAATACACAGCTGACAGCCCTATTGGACAACTGTTAAAATTCATATTATGGCAAGAACCAATCAGCTAACTAAAGAAAAATGAGTGGCCATCAATACTTTAAGAAATGAAGGTCAGTCAGTCCGGAAAATTGCAAAAACTTTAAATGTGTCCCCAAGTGGAGTCGCAAAAACCATCAAGCGCTACAAAGAAACTGGCACACATGAGGACCGACCCAGGAAAGGAAGACCAAGAGTCACCTCTGCTTCTGAGGATAAGTTCATCCGAGTCACCAGCCTCAGAAATCGCAAGTTAACAGCAGCTCAGATCAGAGACCAGATGAATGCCACACAGAGTTCTAGCAGCAGACCCATCTCTAGAACAACTGTTAAGAGGAGACTGCGCGAATCAGGCCTTCATGGTCAAATAGCTGCTAGGAAACCACTGCTAAGGAGAGGCAACAAGCAGAAGAGATTTGTTTGGGCCAAGAAACACAAGGAATGGACATTAGACCAGTGGAAATCTGTGCTTTGGTCTGATGAGTCCAAATTTGAGATCTTTGGTTCCAACCGCCGTGTCTTTGTGAGACGCAGAAAAGGTGAACGGATGGATTCCACATGCCTGGTTCCCACTGTGAAGCATGGAGAAGGAGGTGTGATGGTGTGGGGGTGTTTTGCTGGTGACACTGTTGGGGATTTATTCAAAATTGAAGGCACACTGAACCAGCATGGCTACCACAGCATCCTGCAGCGACATGCCATCCCATCCGGTTTGCGTTTAGTTGGACGATCATTTATTTTTCAACAGGACAATGACCCCAAACACACCTCCAGGCTGTGTAAGGGCTATTTGACCAAGAAGGAGAGTGATGGAGTGCTGCGGCAGATGACCTGGCCTCCACAGTCACCGGACCTGAACCCAATCGAGATGGTTTGGGGTGAGCTGGACCGCAGAGTGAAGGCAAAGGGGCCAACAAGTGCTAAACACCTCTGGGAACTCCTTCAAGACTGTTGGAAAACCATTTCAGGTGACTACCTCTTGAAGCTCATAGAGAGAATGCCAAGAGCGTGCAAAGCAGTAATCAGAGCAAAGGGTGACTATTTTGAAGAAACTAGAATATAAAACATGTTTTCAATTATTTCACCTTTTTTTGTTAAGTACATAACTCCACATGTGTTCATTCATAGTTTTGATGCCTTCAGTGAGAATCTACAATGTAAATAGTCATGAAAATAAAGAAAACGCATTGAATGAGAAGGTGTGTCCAAACTTTTGGCCTGTACTGTACACATATCGCAGTGTGTAGGTATTTTGGGGGGTTTGCAACTAGAAAAAAATCAGTCTGTATTGTCTGAGATGGTGTATGATGTGTGTGTTTGAACGTCACTACCCAAAACACCTTTTATAGCAGGCCTATAATGACAAAACACCTTTGGTCAGGCAGCTTCTCAGATTTCCATGATGAAATGAAACTTTGATTGTAGAAGTCTTTTTACAAAGACTGACTTTTTTTGGTCTTGGGATTATTGACAGTTTCACACTACGTGATCCCACAGATTCTACATTGTCAAGGTCTGTCATAGATGTGCATATCATATTTGTGGGGGATGGGAGCAAGTCCCTAACCCCAGACCACAGGACTATCTCTGCTGACTGTGCATCCTCCTCACCTCGACACACTCAGTGCTGCTGATGGGAAACGTGAGGACAGAGCTGCTGAAAGCTGTGGTCAGATCTACCAGCATAGATGCATGTGAACTGCAATGTGTGTTTCACCGCACAATACAGTGTCACGGGCTGTTTGTGATGTGACACAAGGGTCAAAGAAGATTTCACGGGGTGAAGCATTTCCATCTCCGCTGAATAGAGACTGTTTGAGCTTTTGAGTGGTGTCCGTTGAGAATTACTTAAAGCTTGGCAAAGATTGGTGTGAGATTAAGACACATTTTAATTGTGACAAATAAAACTTTGTGTTCTTTTCCATATTGGCTGTAGTCACCCACAAAAGTGCTTTGTAATTGTCTTTTGATACAGTTGCTGCAGAAATGCACATTTGTATCACTTATTGCACATCACTGAGAGTCGGCAGACTATTCTGTCTTTACAAATGTTCCTACACTCATGTTCTGTGTTTATTTGATCACCAGGAAACTCACAAAATATACAGACAAAAACTCGAGGAGCTCACCAATCTTCAGGCGACGTGCAGCAGCGCCATCAGTAAGCAGAGAAAATGTCTGAAGGACCTGAGGCACAGCTTGACCAAGTAAGTATTCTACAATCAGAGCCGAAATCTCAGTGTTTCTTTTACAGAACGTTTGCTTACACTACACTCAGTACACTTGGCTATCATTTGTTTGTGGTTGGCCAATTTGACTCACTGTTTAGAAAATACAAGCTGGCTACTTTGGTGGAAAAAGATTTCCTTGTTTTGTGGAAGTCTTTTAAAATAACTGGTCTATCAGTTTTGATTTTAGTGCTTTTTTATGTGGACATTACCTTAGTTAATGTACACGCAAGGTATCTTTAGGGCAGGGTATCAGTACTTGATACCTTTTTAGGTATTGACTGAAATAACCCAGTACCAAGCTACAACCCATGTAGTCTGTGGTGTGTTGTGCAAGTTGGCAGTTCACTGTGCCAAGATGCCACCATGATGTTTGAAAGTATGGCACAAGACGCCTGTGGTATTTTAAGTATGTGAATGCTTCTATTCACATCATGGGTATCGAATGAAATACTATGTTGGTATTGGTATCACTGATCGGCACTATCTGCAGCTACGAAATTATCTTTATCACTCTCAGAAATATCAGGAAATATATCGTGTCTTAATTCATTCAGAGCTAAGATGTTTCTCCTCTTTTTTACATCTCCACTCATGATCATTTTGTCTTGTCTCCACAGGTGTTCTAAA